CTGGGTGTTTTTATTTCATTACAGTGGTGCACCCTGCTGTACGTCATTTGCCAGTCGTCAGGTTCTGATTCTTCCTAAATTCTCTTCTAGGGAGATTACCGAGGAGACCTCCGATTTAAGCGTAAAGTCAAATGTTGTAGGATCAACAGCTGCCATTTGGATAGGCAGTTTGCGTTCAACAGCTAGCCTACCAACCCGGCCGGGAATTAACGAACATTAATGATACCATCCGAACATGTCGAATATAGACGGGACGACTTCGGAAGATTTGGGCTCTTTCCAGAAAACTGGAGAAATCCCTGCAGTCTTGGCCACGTCATGGAGCTACTAATATACACATGGTCACGCGTGGATATTAGGTGATACTGACCCTTAATTCGTAGTCAGAATCATCAGGTCTGGTATCCAGACCTGATACAGGAGAGGTAAGGAAACCATGGAGGTAGGAAACTTGCTTATCTCTAAAACAATACTTCCCTATCAGTGAAAGAAAACAGGGCACACTACACAAATTCCTGCATGGAAAGGACATTCCATTAAAATCTAAGGTGTCAAAACAACTAATCAATACACACACCAGCCCCTGCCGACATATCTGACTTCATACACAGTATCATTTTGAATACGAAGGAGGAGTATTCGTCTGTCCCTGTTTACGGATCTACATTTTGAATAGAGCCTGAAAGTAAAAGGTCACGCGGATTTCGAGTCGGTTTTAGAAAATTTACCGCCAAAAGAATTAAAACTGTCAAATGGATTTGTATTTTGACAGTTTCAGCACCAGGCTTTTCCATCTTAAACTGAATCGTAATGGACGTTTGTAATTTTAACGATCCAATTTCCTTAAACTTGGCGAGTGCCCTGTCCTTGATATACTTTCTATAAAAATCAAAAAAGTAAATCAGGTCGTCTTTGGTGTGGTGTTTGTTAAGTGCTGTAGTCACATGAGGGCGCAATTCATGTTGTCCATGAATCGCTCGGTACGCTGCCGTGTAGTAATCTTGGTGTTTTGGACATGCTATGCGGACACGAGAGATAGTGCCAGGTTTAATAATGCATTCATTTATAAAATGTTAATGGCTTGGTTATGTGAGTTACAGATAAATGCAAATGGTTATATATTTAATAGTCCAGATCGATTAATAGAGGGATTAAATTGCAATCAGTTAAGCTCCGGTGCCATGAATATACGTGTAAATTGGTCGTTCGCCCCACAACCTTGGACCTCTTCCAAAACTTCTAGAAACTTTGTAGTCGTCAGGTTCAGGGCCGGCCTGGAATGGTCCCGTGGATTTGCTGAATTGTACCAGCAGGGTTGGGGGCCCTAGGCTAGGGGCAGATTGGCTACATCGACTGGTGAGTTACATGTGTATAGCGAGTTATATAATAGCTAATATAAGGTCATAAAAGTGGCTGTATGTAGTAGGGGGCAAGTTGAATGTCAAATTTGCAATGTGGTGTGCACGTACGAGTACCTCCACCTTTGTTATTGTACATGTACAATATATTATGCATGACCTTGGAAATCCGCAGCATGTACATGTTACATCTTAAGTTACATGTAGCAACAGCAATACTCTTTA